GTTTACCTTGTACTGCTCTGAAGGCACAGCAATTCTTCGAATAGCCTCGGAAACAACTTTAAAATTCACACACATTAGTTTTTTGGTTTTTTTTTAAATTAAGACAACAGCATATAAACAATGCCAAGATAATTATATTGCATGCTTAAACATACACTGTCAGATATTTTCAGGCTCCTCTCAGATCCAGTACAAGATCCACTTTCAGAGATTAGGCACCCAACAGTTTTGTCTGCAGTCCTAGGAGCAGCTCAGTCAGAAGACTGCCATTGGAATTGTACTGTAGTCTCTCGCTCATGAACTGTCTCATAAGCAATTGCACTTCCTTTCTTTTTTTTTTTTATTATAAAGAAATGTTCTATTCATTTTACACACCAACTACAGATTTCGCCTGCCTGCCCCCCAGCTTTCTTCCCCAACCCACTTCCCCCATTCCTACCTCCTGCAAGTCAAGGTCTCCCATGGGGAGTCAGCAGAGCCTGGCACATTCAGTTGAGGCAGGTCCAAGTCCCTGCCCGCTGCACCACAGCTGCACAAGTTGTCACACCTTAGGCACTGGGCTCCAAAAAGCCCACTAATGCATCAGAGACGGATCCCGATGCCCCTGCCTTCAAACTGGATGAAAATGGAAATCTTGCAATCTGTGATCTCAGTCAACACAGAAAACTCTCAGATATCTTCAAAGAGCCATTCCAAGATGGTTTACAGCTCAACTTTCCCTTTATATTTTCCTTGGAAACGACTTGAAAAGGGTAAGGTTGAGCTGCTCAGTTGCTAGCCGCCCAGTTTTCTAGTGATTTGCCCTCCGTCATTTTATATCTAATTTTAAAGTTCTCTTTAAGTTTTGAATTCTTCATAAGTTAGAATGATTTCTAGTTCTTTACCCCTTGGTCACTCTAAGCATCTGCCACTAGAGCTGAGGCTCCCTTCAAATGTAAAGGCATCCTTCTAGTTTTCCACCAAACAGATAATTCCAAGGGATAAGACTTTGAGCCAAAGCTTGGGTAATACGATAGTTAATAGAATTTTTTCCAATCTCCAAATGCCTTCTGGTCCTCTCAACTCTTTCTTGATAGAGAGTAAGTGAGAATTTTATCTACTTCTGTTGGCCAAACAGTGCTATTTCACTTTTCCTCTTCGGTCTTCAGGCAAGCATATGGACCTCTCTTCTTTCCCTCACATAGGACCATTGTCCGGACATCCGTATTGAAATCCCCAGGCTGCTCCTGTCTGTGCCCATTGATGGCACAGCTTCTCTGCAGCAGAGAAGGTGATGGGACATGTTTAAAGAGTGGATGGTCAAGGCAGGCCTGTAACAAGTACTTTCGCTCCTGACTTTATGTTGCTAAGCAACATAAGCCAAGATGGCATTCCAACTAGGCTCTGAGGCTGTGCTTGTGAGCACTTTCCATGGAACCATCTCCTTAACACTAGATCTCAACAGGCAACTCATTAGAGAAGGTGAAGTTCAAAGGCCTCAGCCAGGGCTTAGAAACCTTTTAAAGACTTGTCTCAACTGACCCCTCCAACCCATTGCCTAATATTTGCCAATTCCACATGGGGGCTTCAATTCCATTTTTTCCCTTTTCATGTCAAAAATTTCCTCATCAGAAATCTTCCCACTTCTCTAGGATCTTCCTATTTCCAAAGTTTAATTAAACTAAGTGTAAAGACTCACCCAAAGCTTAATGACTACATAATTACTTTTCTATTGCTGCCTCTAAATATTCCTTCTTTTCCTGAAATTTCTCAGAATGGTGGCTGCATGTAGATTAAATCACATATCACTTTGTGTTCTGGCTGCAATAACACATCATAATTTTTCATTGGCCCCTGTGGGACATAAGCACTTTCAGAGGGAAAACCCAATGCCTGTGGAAACACCACCAGATTAGCCTGCAAAGATCCAGGCTTTCCACATAAAGTCCATTATTGTTCAACAATCTTGGCACCATTTACAGTTTGTTTACTTTATCTATTTAGGAGAGAATCCTCATCCTTCATTGCCCATCTCTCCAAAGGCAATCTTCCCACTAAACCCTCTTCCCTGAGTTTACCATCTAATTCCCTCCATCTGAGGGCCTGGTGTTCAAGGATATAGACTTGGTGTACAGCTCGAAATCCAGCTCTACAGCCCATTATTTGTTGATACTTGGCAAAACACTTAACATTCCTGGACATTAATTCTCTAAGGGGGAACATGATAGTGACATCTACTTTGCAGGATTACATTCTTGCATAAGGATAAAATAAGTTAATTTCTGAAGTTCATAAACTAGAACTGCCATATCATAAACATGCAGTAAAACCAAGACCTTCCCCAGTTCTCTCTGAAAGGTAGCAACCTCCACTTGGCAGTGATTACATTGACTGTTGGTGACACACCTTTTACTGTTGCTAGAACCTAAATTTAAATCAAGTGCTATTGATGGATTTTTAATAGGGATATCTTACTTTCTTAAATAAGCAGCACGTCTCTGGAGCTTTGGTGAACTCTGATTATCGAACATATTCTACATGCCAAGAACTTGGCTGAGTGTGCTCTATAAATATTTCATGCATTGCTCCCCGTCACAGTATAAGGTAGTTATTGTCTCCACACTGTAGATGAAACAGCACCAGAGAAGGCCGAGGGAACAGTTTGTGCAAGTCTTCTAAGCTAGTATGTAGTAGAGCTGAGATAGTTCTAAGATCATGGGTATCCGTTTTCTGAGTGTGTAACATTTACCCATTGTTGCTCAGTTTACTTTATCACTGCACATACTGCTGCACAATATCTGAAGCACACACACTCAGAATTTAGCTTTTCACTTTTAATATATCTTAATTATAGACAGCTTACTTTTAATCATTAACATTTTTTCAGTGTATCGTGGGTTCTGATATACACCCTCCTCCTATTATACTGAGGATAGTGCAATAAACTTTTACTATACTCCGATATAAGCAGACACCTCTGCCTGTTTCTGTCTCCCTTTTTTCCATGCCTTTGTGCCAATTCCCATAATCTGATGTTTAGCCTCACCGTTTGATTTCATTGGCTTGGTGCCGTTTCCACAGTGAATTTGCTGGTGTTGAAAGAACTGCGAGGGAACATTTACTCCACACCTTTAATCACCAAGGTGGGAAACTCGGCTTAGGCAATGGAGGGACCTGCTAGCAATACTTAGCTGGTCAGGGGCACAGCAGGGACCAGAATAAGACTTATTTAAAAAATTATTTTTTAACATGTAGTTGCTTATTTAGTGTGTGCAGAGGTGCAGAGAGTGGGCCTGGGAGATGTGTGAGTCACAGTAAGCTTGTGTGTGTGTGTAGGGCTGGGGGTCAGAGGACAACTTGCAACAGTCAGTTCTGTTCCATGATGTGGGGTTTAGGGATTAAATGGTTACCAGGCTTGGTGGCATACACCTTTAACCTGTTGTCATCTTGTCAACTTGACGCACCAGGGAAGACGGAATCATCATTGAAGAATTGCCTCCCATCAGATTGGCCTGTGTGCCCTCCTATCTGTGGCCAGGGTGTCACAGCGGGTAATTTTCTTGGCTGCTAGTTGACATAGGAGGGCTTAGACCCTATTGGTGATGTCATCTCTAGGCAGATAGGCTTGGGTTGTGTAACAAAGGTGGCCACAAGTCCGGGAGCAAGCCAATAAGCAGCATTCCTCCATGGTCTCTGCCTTGAGTTCTTGCCCTGACTTCCCTCAATGATGGTCTGTAATGGAGCACAGGGAAATAAACCATTTCCTCCCCAAGTTGCTTTTGGTCATGCCGCTTATCACAGTAACAGAAAAGCAAACCAGAACACCAGCTGAGTCATCTTCCTGGCTCCAGAATCAGAGCTCTTTATTCCCACCTTATAGCCTTTGAGCTAAATTATAGTGATATCTGTGTACAGGAGGTGTATGCCTTTCATACAGCATACTCCACACACTCTCAGCTTTGGGTCAGTGGGGCCTCAGTTTGCCTTTCACTGTGTATCAGAGAAGTCACGAAGATAGGAAATACATGAGCATGCAAAAGCCTGTTCAGTTCTCAAGCATGGAGCCTTTACTCATTACTGTGACCCACATGACCGTTCTCTACACATCCTTCAAGAACCAACTCAGAAAGCATGTGATGAGACCAACACACAGTAGAGAAAGAATGTTTAGAAACTATTATACCAACTCAAATGGGGTAACTTAGTATCTCTTAAATGTAATGAGAAAACTATCTCCTATTTCACAGTTTTTAATATGTTGCAGTTTGAAATTTATTTTCCCAGAATTAATCTACTTACATGCTACAAAAATAACAGTTTTTAAAAACAATGAGATTGGCTGGCCAACAATCTCTACATTTCAGATTGATTTAGAGGGTTTGGGTTCAAGGGTGACTTCCGGTTCTTCACAGCGTTCACAGGAGTTCCTAGGACTCCGCTTTTTCCTCTACACACTCACCATCGTCCACGTGTTTGTCTCATCCCTTCTGCATTATAGCTCCCTTGATAAGCTGTGCCCACAGCAGCTCACAAATGACACAGACCTTCGACTTATACTAATGGGCTGGGAAGAATAACATTAACTGTTCACAGTTACTCATAGTTTTAAAGAGGGAAGAAGCGACAAACAGAAAAGTATTTTTTCCTCCTGAATTTAGTCATGATAAGACTCGAGAAAACAGTTAAGTCATATCAGATTCCAGGTTTTATTCATAAATATTTAGAGTTACATGCACAAAGATGATCTATCTTTGCCTCATGCAAAGGTAATAAACTGTCCAAAGTGTGTCTTGATTTTGCATATCAAATACCTCTAAGACACCCTGAGGTTTTAGTACCAGCTCACTGTATTCCTATCCATGGTGGTCTAGTCAGAAATGCAGAGTACTGCATGCATACACACTACCTCTCCTGCAATGGAGGCAAACACTGCACCAGGGTAGCTGATAGTAACCCCCATTCCTCAGTAGGGAAAATGGAACACGACATTTAATTTGAAAGTCAGCTCCAGCCCCACTCACCAAAGTACTCATCAGAAGGGGGATTTTCCATGTCATACAGCATCTTCTTGGTCAGGTGCTCCAGCTCATCTTCTGGCCGGAATGATGGGGGAACAGAAGGAGGCCCCATAGGCCCAGGGTGTCCAGCCTGGAAGAAAACACATAACCATTTAAACTTGGTCTAAACATACACTACAGCAATCTGCTTAACTGGGGAGGAAGCAGCACAGGTCCATCCATCTGTAGACCTGTGTTGGCCCTAAGATTTACTACTTATCCAGTGTCTGACCTTTGTCCTTCCACTTAATTTACTTGCCTTTTCTAGATGAGTCTCTCATACTTTAGAATCTGTGTTTCCAGTAGCAGGAATCTAATTTTTCAATAACTGCTAAGTAGTTGTCATGTTATTGTTATTGTAGTAATTAGGAAGATGACCAGTAAAGACTATACAGCCTAGAGAAAAGTCTACAGGCACATCAATAAAGATAGCTCCTCTGGAGAGCGCACACTGTCAGGGGTTAAAGGGAGCTCTCTCGGAGAGGATTCAGAGAAAAGAGAAAAAATAGATGAGACTTCTTATACCTAGGTGAAGAAACCTCAGGTACAATCAAAAGCTCCCAGCCATTGTGTTTTCCTGTTCAAACAAATGTACATGTTATAGCTTTCGCCGTGCCCAAGCCAGAACACACTTCTATCACGTCCCAGTTAAGGCAGCTCAGCAACGTTTTCGTGCCATCGACCCGAAAGGGAGCTCACTAGATCTCCCTTTCCTACATTTCAACTCACCCTTGTCAACAGCACCCCGTATCTTTAACCCGGGAATTATAAAGATAAAAAATGCTGTTATTAACAGTTTAGACACGAGGATAGCCCTGGCCACTGTCAAGGGGGAGAGAGACGGATGGAGTGTGTGCTTGCTTGGTGAGGACACACTCTTGCAACGGCTGCATGAGAGTTTCTGTCTTCAGAATCATTTAAGAGTAAATCCTACAAAGCTGAAAGCTGGGTGTTCATTCCCCCAACATCTTCACTTGACCTAAGGACTTATCAGGCACAAAATCCTGTAACGCACACATCTCTTTATAGACATTATCATGCCTAACGCAGTTTTGCTTAGTTGAGTGATGTCTAAGGCACAGAAGCATTCTCGACACAAACAAGACTTCATTGATAGTGTTTTACTCTTTTCTCTGTTTTTTACTATTTTCCCAGTTTGGAGAACCACTGTTCTATAATCATTTATCCTCTACACTGTGACCAGCTGTGAATTTTGTGTTAACTACTATCCACTGCCCAAATAAATGTCACTGTCAATGTCTGAGAACTGTAGTAATCTATGGGTAGAGAGATGTAGCTTTAGAGGAAAGTTTAATACTATGGCCATTGAGTAAAATAATAATATTATTTTACTGGCCAGATTTACAGTACTGGCCATTGTTTTGTACTGTGCAGAGGACCTTAAATTCAACCAAAAGCGCTTGTTCGCCCCTATAACATTAATGCCATGGATGCATCTTATCACACCAGTCATTTCTGAAGTTCAGGGTGCATGGCTGGGTAAGAAAGCTGGTGACTTTATTTTATGTTATGTAAATGCTACTTTTGAAATTCACGAAATGGGACTTTTTTTTTTTAAGCCACAATAACTTCAAATAATAAAGATATGCTGTTTACTCCTAAACCCCTGGAGTAAGTTTCTATATAATCCATGCCAAGTGGAGGGTTCCAAGAGGAAGCAAATGTCAGAGCTGAGAAGTACCTTGGTGTGAGTGAGTAGTAACAACCACAAACGGCCCTATGAGTGAAGAGGACAGACAGGGAGCTTCAACTGATCGTTGTCTTGTGACACTGGCGTATCTGGGGCTTCTCTGTAAGTCAGAAGCCTATGGTTGAGACCACAGATAAACTCTACGAATAGTGATGGAGAGACAACCGGACTTGGAGTTCTTCGGCAAGCCTCTGAACTTTGGGTAAGTTCAGATCCGCTCGGTCATTGTGAGACGCACAGTGAGACAACCGGCACCTGGGGAACATGGGACTGAACCGTTTCAGAGCACTGTGGAGAAGGGCTCTCTATTTCAGGTGGCAAAACAGACAGCCGAGATGGAACGGGAGGAACTGCTCTCCTTCGGGTGTGCAATAAAAGGAGAGGTGAGTCCAGAGGATGCTGGCATCTAAGCCCAAATTGTACCCACGCACCTCTTCCCCCAACCACGTGTTGCACATGGCTTCCAACAGAGAGGTACTGGAGAAGCCCCAACTGTCACTGCTATCAGCACTAATGCCAGCTGTTTTAATTCACTCAGCAGTTACTAAAGAGCACGTGATTATCTTGCTTCCAAAGGATACAATTCATTATTGCCTCAGCCTATGTATCTGATTTTTTTTTTTAAAATAAACAAGAGGTAAGAAACTAAATCCATCTCCCACAAAACTACGGCAGAAATGCCTACTCTTAGCACTTACATTTCAAAATGACTAATTTCAAAGTACTCTGTCAGTATTTCACAGATGTTCTTCAAAAGTATCACCCTCTCTACTCTTCAAACATCCTTGCCTATTTTGCTTGCCGAGTTTAGAAGGGCTCTTTTCCATTTAAATTCTACTTTTTGCATATTGATGCTATTAGATTTATCATGCTCATATATATGTCCCTATAAACTCACTGTAAGTTGAAAACACTATAAGCCAAAGGAGGCCGTGATGCACCTCACATATTGGTCATCGCAACATAACAAGGTGCTATGAGCACTGTTCTGTCATGTAACATGTGGCCCCATGGGAGGTGTAGCCCAGCGCCATTGCTCAGCATCTTGAGAGGACATTATACTAAAATATCATCATTAGCTTGGGAGTAAAACAAAACAATAACGACAAAAAACAATAAAAAAATCCATCTCACATTTGTGTGCTTTCTATGGAATGGAGACCGCTTTCACAAAACATAAAGCTGACAAGTCTCGAGGGGAGCCACAGTTAAGCTGGGGACCACACTGCACTGTTAATTGAGAGTTATGTCTCATGAGGAAGGACCTAGATGATCTCACAGCATTTTGAATTTTGTCTACATGACTCTCCTACCCAACCCTGTCCCAGGGTATAATACGGAACACGTCTGGGATGAATGCTGGGAGACCACAGATTCTTTAGGTAAGAGTTGGTTTTTCACTCCAGGGAAGGTAGCCTAGGACACTGAGTTCAATCCCATAAGAAATTTGTATTTTACCTTCACTCTGATAGACGATTATCTCTATAATTTCCCCCTTGCAATACAGATCAGGGCTCATGATATCTTAAGAAAAATGAACAGCCATGTCCAACTTGTTTATTTTCAATTGGGTAATTTATAGCACAGTTTAGGGTAAAAATGTACAACTTACAATGTGTGAAGGGTCACTGGGATGGGATGATTTCCACTGTTTTCTGGGTTCTTCACTCAGAACTGTGAACATCAGTAGTATAATATTCACCGTGATCCAATGATTCCTCGATTGCACGACCCTTTCCCAGGTGCCTGCTTCACATATAAGTAATCTCAAATGCTTAGAGGATGGCCCTGTATGACGTGTGAACGTGCTTTATGGACAAGAAAACTGAGGTCAAGTGGGTAAGTGAGCAACCCTGTGGTGGACAGGAGAACTCTGTGGAGAAACAGCAGAACTTGGACTCCCTGGTGAACTGAGTTGGGTGTATATTTGCTACACAGCAATGCCTCTCAGGATTCCCTACTAGTGTCTTCAAGCCCTTCTAGCTATGTTATTAGATAGTGATTTAGATTTATATCAACTTACTCTTATATAAGCCAAGATTTTTATATATGTGAAGGATTACTGCTCAGCACAAAAGAAATAAAAACAAAGACGTTCTTTTGAATGTGCACATTAATCACCAATATGTATGTTCTTTGAAATGTCTGAATCACTTAGTGAAGGCACAAGAGCATCATAAGCCACACGGGTGAGTTGTCACAGGGTCAGACTTCAGACAACTCCAACTTTTCTCAATCTAAAGCGCCAAGGACTGCAAAGATCACGTCAAATTATTAAGAGTTTCTACCTCTGACAACTTAGGAGTTGCAGAAGAAAAAGACCCAAAGTAGACAATCACAAAAATGTGTAAAGAGTAAGATACAGGTGTGAGTCCAGTGTTCTAGCATGCCAGGAGGAGGCTTCTGGGAGATATGAGCCTTTGTCCTTTAAGGATAAATCAGATTCCATAAGAGCAACGAGGAAGGAAGGGAGAAAGGGATGGAGTCCAAGAACAATGTACACAGAATACATGGGAAAACTTAGAGGGGAAATGAGCTAAAATGAAGAAGGCAGCCAATGCCAAGTCTTCATTGTAGGTAAGAGGAAATGATTAGGAGATTTTCAAGTGGTGGTTACCTTTGTTAAAGTTATGAATACAGCACAATATTTTTTAGATCACAAAGATTATTTTAAAATGCAATCAGGGCTGGAGTAAAGGCTCAACTTGATTTGCAACCACAAGGATTTTAATTCAGTCCATAGGATCTTGTTTAAAAAGGTCATTATTGTATAACGCTTGTAATCCCAGGGCTGGGTAGGTGGAGCCAGGCCTATTTGGTGAGCTACAACAACAACAACAAACCAACCAAAGAAACAAAACAAAGACACAAACAAGGTGGGATAAAGGCACTTGCTACAAATTCTGATAACCTAAATTTCATCCCTAAGACCCACATGACAGAGGGAGAAAAGGACGCCGACAAGTTACTCTCTGACCTCCAAAGAAATACATGTACAATAAAACAAAACCCAAAATGCCCACTCTGCAGCAAGGCGGCTGAGAGGGTAAAGGTACCCATTCCCAAGCTCCTCTCTTAGAGCATATCCCTGGCACCCACATGGAGCGGGGAAAACCCACTCCAGTAGTTGTCCTTTGACCTCACCCACGTGTGCTGTGATAATGGAATTAAAATAATAAAAAAAGAACAAACGCAAAACAAGGGGGAATGACTCTTCAGTAAGGGCACCCAAGGTGGCACTCTGGCCTCTACACCCATATGCATGCACATACTTGAATGTGCACAGATGCACACACTAGTACACACACACACACACACACACACACACACACACACACACACACACCACATACACAAAATTCACCCAGACATGAGGGTAT